AGTAGATTGTTGGAAAATATACATATATAGCAACAACTTTGGCTTTTTCTCCTTTTAAGAAGAAGGAAAGAAACCAACATAAATTGATTCACAATCAGAAAAGGGGAGCCAATATCATCTTCACAGAGCTTGCAGCCAGGTCAGTACAGGTTGACACCTTTCTTGATACTATAAGGAATCTTAAAGCAAATAGGTTTGCTCAATAAATCAAGTAAATCTCAAATTCTTCAAGACCCAGAAAGACATCAAAGCTCCCCAAGATCTAAATAGCCTAACATACATACCCTATCTCTACACATACCAAAACACATCACCAGAGTAGTGTGAACACATACACGTGTATAAAGCTGTTATTAAAACAAGTTTGATAAAAGTTCAACATAACAGCACAACAAGTGTGACTTAAATTAATATGATCATCAAATACAATTATCACAATAGAAAGTGATTAACGTAGACAGAGTGTCAGGAGTCTGTAAAAAACACAACAAAGTCAGTGTAAACAGGTAAACAACCTAAGTAAAAAAAGAAGAAACGATACATGCCTAATCAAAACAAGATTAAAACACATATAAAAACAATATTATAGCCAAAAACAATAAAAGCATTACACGTAAAACCTTGTCAACAATTACTAAAATAGTACCAAGAATACATATTAATCCACTCACATGACTATTCATAATATAACACAACAATACGACAATAATATCAATCTACACATATACCCTATTATAAATAAAGCAAAGTAAATACTTCAGATAGTAAACAATAGTGAAGATGATATTATTGACATGCTAATCCAATTGACAAAAAAGCATAATGAAATAAGTAAACTATGGACTACGTAACAAATTGCCAAACAAAAAGGTATAACCAATCACAATAGTGTGATGGAAGATGCTCCAGAAACATGTACTATACTGGATAACATTATTGTCAAAATCCTAGAAATAGATAATATAACATTTCACAAAAAACAAATTCTTATACAACATATCACATTTTTTGGTAGAAGGAAAGGAAAAGGAAGAGAATCTACTTCAACCCTATATAAAAGATAGATACTTGGATATAATCAAAGAAAAGTTAGCAAAAACACCATCCATTTCAATGGAAATCCCTACCGATGTAGAAAATGGATCAATATTAGATAATGAAATAACAATGGTGAAAAGTCAAGAACAGAAGAAAATAGAAACAGAAACTCTCAAAGGCAAAATTCAAGGCCACAATATAAGCGAGTGCAGCTCTTATAATACAAGAAACAGGCAAGCAACCCCAACACTAAACCCCTATTTCATAAATAAAAAATGCAAATATAAAGTAGGAGCAATGACTATCAATATTCTAGGGGACAATAAAGAAGAAACCAAGGCATACTTGAGTAGTATATTGAAATTGCCACAAAACAAGCGCAATCTTCTTTACAAAGAATTTATCAATAGAAATAAATGATTGAGTTTTTATCTAGAGGAAGAAAAAGATCTTTTCAAAAGTTTAGAAGAGATAAATAGAAAGAAAGAAACTTTCAGTCTACAACAACTCAAAAATAAGGGCACTAATTTAATACAAAATATAGAGATATTAGACAAGAAGATCTTTTAATCAAGAAAAGAAGAAAAGAAAGAGAATATATGGCATGTTAGCCTAATATATATAGCACATAAAACTTCATAACACCTGATAAAAGAATATCTCAAAAGGTATGGTGAGGTACGAAATATACATTTCTACAAGGTCAAAACAAAAACAAGGGTCAAGGCTTATATCAAGTAGCATAGTTACCTCAAGACAAACCCAGAAACATTATAAATAACCCCATTAGGAACAGAAACTACTAAAGCCATCTTCTCCAGGAAAGAACTGACAGACAGAAAGATCAATGACATTCTAATAGAAAGAAATAAAAACTCTGCAAGACTACTAGGCATAAACAAGCCCTACTCTAGTTTGATAGCCAGGGCACTCAATGATATAGAAGTGAAAGCATATTATACTCCAAGAAACCCCTTTACACTGTAGCAGGCTAATTGGCGAGTCTATCGCTAATGACCAAAAGCTTGTATAACCTGCGGATAGAAGAGTTCGTCCTTCTATCACACACACAAAACAATACCAAAAACCAAGGCAGAGACATAAAAAGATTTGGGTGAGTCTCAAGGTAGTTTTCCTTAAAACTACTCATAACTTCACTGTTATAATCAATCTATCCAAAAGATTTGTCGTAAGATTCGTCTTAAGATTAATCCTGAGATTCATCATTTTATTAAGTCATTGAAAGAAGTTACATTTATATATTTTTACACATAGGGCTATTACATAATCACTATAGCTATTCTAGTATTATGTTATGCATAAATTGCTTTATAATCAACCAATTTTCTATTATTTTAGCTTATAGTTTTTTACTCTTTTGACGTGAATGAATTGTTCGTACATTCTTCTATCTTGTAAGAAGTATGGTGATAGTTGGCAATTAATTATTTCGCATAAGCTTTGGTTGTATCACAATCATCAGTCATGTGACTACAACAAAAATTCTGAATTTGGTCTGACTTCTTTGATCTTTAACAATACTAATAAAAAAATAGAAAAATTGGTAAAGAGAATTTGTGAGCTTTCTGAGATTTTGTCATACCGATGATATAGAAACTACTGCTGCTTTGAAAGCAGACATCGATGAATTGAAAAAAAATAAAATAAAAACATATAAAAATTTTGTAAGTTCAAATAGTTTTAACAATAAAAAACTTAGTAAACATCTTTATATTTTAGGTAAGGGAGAACCTGATAATACAAAAATACTTTGCCAATGCTCACGAAGTAAAAATGATATTTCTTGAGCCTTTGTCTGGATATAATGAAAAAAAAATTAAAGGAAAGTAAGTATATAAAAAAGTAAATTTGTTACCTTCATATGTACAAGCTATCGATGCTATCTCCTATCTGCTGAATGTAATAAAAAGAATAAGAAAATTATAATTTGTAACAAATATTCAAACAAGGTGATACTTACTATATGTTGTAATTAGATTGAATCCAAAGTTTTAAATATTATGCAAGGTAAAGTACTGGAAATGTTTTAATTATAAAAAAGGGTTGCCTGATCCAATGGTATATTGAAACTTAATCAAGGAGCATTGGCAGCTACTAGGTATATAAAATTCATATATTATATGTTTAATTTCATACTTAAGTAATACTGATAACAAGTTTTAGATATCTGTCAACAAGGAAATATGAAATTTTTACACATGTTTTCAATATATTAAAAGAGTTACGAGGAACAAGCCAGCAGTATCTATATGAAGAAAAAGTTTTTGTTATGAACAGCCACTTGTTTAACTATACAATAAGTATTTTTCCTGCTGATGTAACTTCAAGTATACAGTAAAAAATTGCTGAGCATGAACTTCCAAGATTAGATAGAAACAAATATGGAATAGTTGAAAAAGATATTTCAGTTTTTTATAACAAGAAAGAAATCAAACTTAACCATCCCTTTGGTCTCTGTAAAGTATATGTATCTTGGAGATATAACAAATTTGCCTATATCGATACAAATTTCTTGAACCATGCAATTGTAACCAGCTGCCTGAGAGAAATTCACTTTGAAAGTAATCTAGAATTTACTTGTCAAAAAGGGGATTTTAATGAAAGTAACTTCTATATGGTTAAATGGTAAATAAAAATAGAAATGACAGGTATTTTTATAAAAATGATAAAAAAGTTTGAAATATAAAATACTAAGTTTTTATTTAAATTTTTATACAAAGCAACACTCTTTTTTACTAGCCAGAACAAGAGTTACATGGTACAACTGTTTTGCCAAAGGAAAATGTAACTAGTGATTTATTATAAAACCTGGCAAAAAAAATAGTAACAGCAATTAAAAAATAGAAAAAAGGAACCAAAAAAGAAAAACATATGAAGTATCGGCAAGAGCAATTGCAACAAGAATTCACTGCTTTGCTAGTACTGGAAGAATTGATAAAAAAAAAACCAAAGTAATAGCAATACTGCAGAAATTTAAATTATACAGGTGTATATTTTAATTTAGAAGAAAATAGTCATAAATAGTAATAAATTATAAATATTAAAAGTGTAAATTATTAACTAAATATTTATATATAAAACCTAAAGATGATAAGTAAACATTAGATAGGGAAAACAAATAATAATAAAAAAAAAAAATATTGAATTAACCAAATGGATATGGATCAAATAAAAATAAATCTGTTCGGATACAGATCAAATCAAATAAAAATCAATCCGATCTGATTCGATTTCTACCTGCAGGCAATGATATTAGAAGTTGAAAAGATTTTTACCTGAACTATTAATAGAGTGATAAATTATTCTCAATATTGTATTTAGAGGGATAGTATAATCAAAACAAATAAGTTAGTTAGAGAATTAGCTTTAGCATCTCATTTTATATATACAGTTTACAAATATTTAATAAAGTACACATAACTAATCTGACAGAGGATTAAAAAAAAAATAAAAAAAAAATAAATTAATAATCTTAATAAAATAAGTCTTGATAACATAATTGTGATTTAAAAAAGAAAAAAGAAAAAAATCTTTTATTATCAAAATATAATAATACTAAGAAATAATTATAAATAAATAGATAAAAAACAGTAATTAAAAATAACTATTCAATAGTATTGGCGACTATTTTATCACAGTACTTTGATGATTAATGTAAAGATAAAATATGAATTAATAAATCTTAATAATTATTATTATTAAATAAACAGAAATTTGGGTTAATTTGATTTTAAAAAACTATAGATTAGATATACAGTATATTTATATGTAAAATAATAATAAAGTACGTATTGACCATTCTATATCAGATTATCTTATAGAAAATCCATACAATAATTAAATAGAATTTCACATCAGACAACACAATTTATTAAATAAACCAAAGATTCTATCTTTTATTTACATAATCAGTAATTTAAAGTACATTAAATTATTTATAATTATTGTCCGCTCAGGTTAAGTCGAATGTTTCTTACTATATGACCGTGAATCGTCAATAAAAGATCGTCATTCGTGAGAGGGGTTGTTGATTCTTGTTGATGAGGTACGAGTTTTATTTGAACTTCAGGTGACTTTGACAAAAGTTTCTCTAGTTCTATTCCGGATTCATTAGTTATTAGGAGGCAAGGTATTGAAAAGAAGACAGAATCATATTCAGATGGTAGCTCCGGTTTAAATAAATAATTATCATCGCTAATAATAATAAGCGCCTTTGCTCCAACGGCTTGCGCATGTGAAACTTTTTCAACAAAAGTACATTCTCCTCGCTTCGTAAGTAAAATGTTATCCCGAATAATAGTTTCCTCATCCAAGTTGTATGATTCACAGCCGTTTGATGACGGCGATATTTGTACAAGATGTAACACTTGTGATTCCTCTGTGATTTTCGGTCCAAATGAAGCAACAGCTCCAATATAATCTGAATAATCTTCGTAAAAAATGTAATTATGGATCACCCGAATAATAGAGGTTTCATACGTTTGGTATTTAATCCAATAATCCTTTATAGACGGGTCTCGTATTTCAAAAATTTGTCCAGGAAGTAGTCTATTCGTGCATTAAAACAAATAAAAAGAAAATTTGCTACAGTCCAGTTACTTCATTAATTTAGTTTTCAGTACATTTAAATAACATACCTAAAATAGCCCACTAATAGTAATTAAAATTTTCCCGGCAGATGATAAAATGCTGTTAGCAAGACGTAATAACCGGAAATTTTACCGAAAGAAAATACCTTTAGTTACATCATAACCCGTTCGATCAGCTCTCCTCGATAATTCTAACTTCAGTCCAGCCAAACTGTTTGCAATCAATCCATTGAAGTATTGTACCAATTGTTGAGCTGGTTGATTGGATTGAGGAATTGGATCACCAAAACTTACATCCATTACTGAAGGTTCCGTTTCAGGAACTTCACAATGACCATGGGGATCTAATGGTGGCAATGATTGATCTTCAAACCCAACCAACTCCCTCGCGAAATCTGCATCGGGACGATCTAAAACGGACGCACAAAATTGTCTTACTTTTTTATGTTTTTGGCATATAGAATCTTCTGTCTTGATATGATGTATTTTTGTGAAGTTCTTCAGATATCTTGCGGGAAGTGGAATAATATGCGCTTCTGCAATCAAATAAAGTATTAACAATTTCATAATTAATCACATAGTGGAGCATAAAAATAATTATGAGCTTACCAGTTGTAAAGACAAAATTGTCATCCAATTTATTGAGAAAGTTTTCTGGCCAAAAAAAAAAAAAAAAAGAGTCAATATTTTCATAATTTAATTATGAGGACAAGCGAATCACTTACCAGTGTCAAATAGTAAATACAAGTATTTAAAGGTTTCACTTAATGTGAAGCTTTCCATTCGTTCTTCAAGTTTTTTCGTATGTACGTCTTTGACAGATGCGTATCCACATTCCACACGAGAATACGATTCTAAATCCTGCAAAACCATCTCACCAACTTTAAGGTAAAAGGGATCCTGTGTTGCCTATCAAGTTTAAAAATGAAAAAAAAAAAGAATAAGCATTGCAGGGATGGACTCGGTCACGTGATACAAAAATACCTGGTAAAGGAAATATGTAGATTCAATAAATTCAGGTCTTATCGGGTATGACGCAATTTCGACATTTCTTGAATAGAAATTGAATCTTTCCGGCATAGATCCATATTTTCTCCAAATGTTAAAATATAGCAAATGCGATTTTATGGCAGTATCTAGGTCACCGGATAAAACCTATACAAATACAAAAAGGTGAATATAAGCCCACTCAATCGGAGTTCTAGTTTACAAAGAACAAGGGGGATTAATTTACCTGAAGACCCGGAAAGTAGGCTGACAAACTGTCCACCCAGCCAGACATCAGTCCTCCATTCATCATATTTACACTACGATACAAATACCCTGATTCATCACGAACATATTTTAAAATTGCTGAATACGCTTCGTTAAAGACACTTAAATATTCAGATTCCCCAAATAGCACGTAGGCTTTAAGTAAGTATTCGTAAAATGAATCAATTCCGGCACCAGTGCTAGCCGCAGTATGAATCCACTGTCCAGTTTGAATGTCTATGACATTTCCAACCAGATCTAGGTTTGTTCGCCTGTTCCAAATACCAAATAATGCCCTGCGTGCAGCCTCCTATTAAATTAGGAAGAAGAGACTTGGATTATTTTTCGGAGAAATTAAACACGAGTACATCTTATGATTACCTCAAACCGTGTATCATTTTTTAGTCTGCTTAAGACGCCGAATTCCAAAATCAAAGTACCGGCCCCGGCCGTGCAAGTTTCGTGTGTTTCGCTGCTTGGGACACCATATTTTAAGTTCACCTGCCGAAACGAATTAGTAAATAATCATATTTGATGTTCAACTGAGTCCTTCACAATAATGTTCGCTCACTCGTGAGAAGGGAATCCCTGTCTTTGTTTTTTGAAATGCCGGTAACAGCCTTTGTCCCAAATCGTAAGCCAAATCCAACAATTCATTATTATAACCTTCTATCATGAAGCCAAATCGAGGATCTGTCGCAAATAAATGTGCTGATAACTATTTCCAAAAATTGAATTGGTCAGCCTCAAGAAAAAAAAAAATTACAGACGCCAATTTCCTCAAGAAGTAAATATGATTGCTACCAGAGCCCCTAATACGCGGATGTTTACTTCGAATACTTGTACTTTACTATTTAGGTCAAATGTGACGTGCTGAATTACATTGCGAACTGCAGTTTCGAATCCTTCCTTATCATTAAATACCTAGGAATTCAGAAAAGTTATGTAAATATAAAATCATTCATCCAATTGCTTAAAGTTAAGCCGTTAATGCTCACTATGAAGGAATCAAGGGAATCGACCAAAGTCAAGGAATAGTCCCCGAGAACGTCGTTAATTAATATATTATTTCTGAAATAGAAACGATTAGTCCAATGAGTGTGTATCACGTCTTTCAACTAAATCAATATTCGAAAAATCAATTTATACTTGCGGGTTCGCCTTGTCTCTTCCCCTTCCAACACAACTGATCGGATCCAACTAGAGAAAAGTTGATATGAGAAAAAAGAAAAGCTATCTGCCAAGATTTAACAAAAATTCATACCTCGTCCTTTGGAAAAGCATATTTCATATAGCTGTTGAATCCATGATAAAACATTTCCTAAGAACGGTGAGTAATCTGGTGAGCTGCGATCGAGTATTTACTTTTACTGATTGATCGACTGTGAATAATATGGTAGATTGCAATACCTTAGATATGTTCCTAGGGGTAGTTGATTGATTAATTTGGTGAGTAGTTCAAGAAGGGAAAAAAAAAAAGGATGTCTTATAAAATCACTAACTTTAATTCCATTCTGCGCTGTTCCGTCATCGCTGTTGATAGATCGCGAGAATGTATCAAGGTCGGCATTAGTGAATAAAAAGGTATCCATGTGTAAAAGGGAAAGAACAAGGTAAGGTAAAGCGTAGGTAAACGCATCTTGTCTTATCAAAGAAAAGGCGTTCGAGAATGAGAGTTCCCGCATTTTAAGCCATGCGAACTTGTGATCATTATGTTTCCTTTTATTGGTCAGATTTTCGGATTTATACAGCTTTTTTTCTTTACACAAAGGCAAATTTGGGTTGAATATTTGATAATGAGGGTAAATATCAACTGTTCACTTTTTTTTCCCGCGTTTAATAATGACCCTCCTCTTATTAGATCGCTATTGAAGGCTGTTGTCACAACCAACTGGATTTAATTTATCAGACATTAAATTATATTGAAAGGGAGAAACAAATTAAGATCGATTTGTTGTTGATCTGCGGTGATTTTCAGGTAAGATTCAAATACTGTTTCGTATGGAACGCGTGGTTCTCTGGTTAAAAATAATATGAATTCTCCCAGACCATACGAAATACTGTTGATGTACAATGTATGAGTGTGCCCGATAAATACAAAGAGTTGGGCACTTTTTATAAATATTATTCCGGCGAAGTTAAAGCACATTGTCCGACCGTGTTTATTGGAGGGAATCATGAAGCTAGCAATTATTTGTGGGAATTGTAAGCATGAAAATAATAACCAGTTAAAGGTTTGAAGGGGAGTTGTCAATTCAACGATCACATATACATTTTAGGTATCATGGTGGATGGGTTTGTGAAAATATATACTTTCTTGGCCGCACGGGTGTCGTGAGTTTTGGGGGGCTCAGAATTGGTGGGCTCAGCGGGATATATAATATCGCGAATTATAATAAAGGTACATCATTTTCAGATTCCTAGTTCTTGCATTTCATTATTTCAATTAAGTCATGTCATTGATTAGGTAATTCATATTAGGAAATCATGAAAAAATGCCGTACAATGAAAATTCTATTCGGAGTATTTATCATATTAGGAAGTACGACATATTCAAACTTTCTCAGGCACGTAAAGATAGGTTGATGAAAAATCCTCGATTTTTTTTTTTTTTTTAATACTTCGTGGCTCTTACACGCATATACAATTGCGATGGTGAATATGAACAGATCAGGCAACCCATTGATATCTTTCTGTCACATGATTGGCCTGAAGGTATAACTAAATTTGGGGACGAGCGGGATCTTCTTAGATTGAAGCCACATTTCAGAAAAGATGTGAATATCGCAAGTGAAAATTTAGCTGAATCCTGTTGAGAATCTTAAAGTGTGCTAATAAAAATTTCTGCAAATTATGATTCATGTCTAAAGATCGAGGCGAATAGATTGGGGTGTCCTCCGGGTAAAAATTTACTATCGAAATTGAAACCGAGATATTGGTTTTCCTCGCATATGCATGTAAAATTCGCGGCCGTTGTTTATCATGATTCCACGGAAAGATCGGACGAATCCAAAGATTTGGCGAATAATCCGGACGAGATCAAAATTGATCTGGAAGAATACATTGCGGTCAATAATCCTGACGAGATAGTTATGTCACCTGGTGGAATTATTAATGATTCAAACAAGGTACTTACTTACAACACTTGAAGATACGAAAGATCAAGAGAGATCACGACAATTTTAATAACTCAGACAAGGTTCCTAGAACACTTGAAGAGGATATTAATCATCGAGAAGAGATAGCCGTCTCGTCGGAAGTTAATAATATCTCTGAGGTTTCACCGATTGATCTTGAATTTAAAAATAATTCTAAAGGAATCCGTGATCAACATGAGCAAGGCTCATTCGCGGAGAATTTGAATCAGAATTTCGCTCGTTCGTCAACATCAACGTCCACCTGTCATCCTTCATGTACCCGGTTTTTAGCACTCGACAAGTGTTTACCTGGGCGCAGTTTTTTGCAGGTTTTAAAGAACCAACAGCTTCAAATGTTCTCGTGGTGATTTTTCTTTTTATGCACGAAGTATTACTACTGTTAATAGATTTTAGATTTTCCGGATGCCAACGGACCTTTGGAGTTTAGTTATGACGAAGAATGGTTGGCCATAACCAAGGCAACCCACGAGTTTCTATCTTTGGAATACCTGCAGATACCGTTACCTTCGGACGAAGATATTGCCAGGTAGATTATGAATCGTAGAATCTTTGATCGACGTTTTTCCGCGAGTATTTTGAAGATTAAAAATATGTTTTGTAGGAGAGTAGAGACTGATCTTCAATGGGTTCGGGAAAACATCACCAAGAAAGATCCCGGCCTCCTTATTCCAAATAATTTTCAACAAACCGCTCCAAACCAGGACGAATTGAGAACCTCTACATCACATCCTGTATATGATTTAAGTGAGTTCGATTATAGAATGGGAACATTGTCTTGATCACAATGATTGTTGACTTTTTTTTTTTTATTTATTTATTTTAGGACGACCATTTTTGAATCCACAAACCGTGACATTTACCAATATGTTGAATATTGAAAATAAAATTAATTCCAACGGTCAAATTGTTGACAGCCAAGCACATTGAATTGTTTCGTGTTTGATATTAGAAGAAATTGGAAATGCCGATACATAAGGTTCCCGTGAAGAACTTTATCGGCATTTTCCTAAACCCATTTCCCCAAGTGTTCATTCGAGGACAATTAATTTCCGGCCTCGGGTTTATAAAAATTAGAATGAGAATTTAGCATTTATTATTTTGTCATCAAGTCATTTGACTTTATTTCTTCAATCATTGTGATTACATCAGACCCATTCTGCTTCTAAATTTTAAACTGTTTAATATAATTAAACTACCGCGAGTGAATCATCAAGTAAATTTTAATTATGATCTACCTTTGTTCGACGTGCCCCGAAAATCGGGGTTTGCAATGTTTGGTTAAATTTAAATGCATTGCCATTTACGGACAATGGAGCTTTATCACCGAATGATTCTTATTTGACTCTGTTCCCGACCACTCCAAGTTATGAGAGATCGAAATTCATTTGTAGTACACACGTGTAACATGAAAATGTACAAGGTGGACCACGAATTTGCATTACGCAAAACGCATCTTTTATTCCCGAAAAATTTCAACGATGAATATTGTCGACCCTGCTGCGAACTTCAAAGCTTCTCTCAAAGAAATCATAGAGAAACGAGAAAAGCAAGAGCAGGTGCTTATGATTGACCTGTCAATAAAAATCTTAACCGCCCTTTTTAAAACAATTAATGATTTTTCGTGCGTCTAGGAATCGTTTCTATCAATATCGACCGACGAATTCAATTCCGGGTATTCATCTACCTAATATCATTCATGCATTTGGATACTTCAAGATATTAGATAAATCCCGAACGTCTTTTAAGAGTAGTTTTCCACAAATCTAACAACGAATGCTGCAATTGCACCCGTAAAATTAGAAATTTTCCGGCCAAGAGATTCAAGAAAGATAAAGCCATTAAAAAAAAGGTTGATCGCGTATTAGTACTGGAAACCTCGGATACCGTAACCAGACTTGTGCAAGAATTCTTTAAGGCATGCCTGGCAATCGGAAACACGGTATTGTGTCGTTCGATCCAAGAATTTTCGGTGACAACCAAAACGCTAACAACACATTGACAACGTATCACCTAGGGAGAACTCGTTAATTACTTAATAGATGAACTTGCAAAAAACCCCACATGGGAGCACGTCTCCCTCGTACTCTCAATATTTGGAGGCCTCATTACCGACTCCCCTACAACCTTTGGAATGTTATTGTCGCTCGGAGGAGATATCACAAAGTCAGAATCAACCCTTCAGCCTGTTATACAAATCACGATACCACAAATTTTTAGATATCTCAACCTTTCCATCGCATTTTCCTCATCAGAATTACGAATAGGCATAATTTCATTTATGCTTATTATTTTAAAGCAATACCCAAGGTCCATGATGGATATTAATTCGGTTGATCCGAAACTGGCCGTCGACATCATTAAATCAATCCTGAAGTTCGTTAATGATCTCCCACCGGATCTCGATGAAAGGGACCTCGAATGTGTAAATATAGGTCGTCAGATGATCGATGCCCTTTTAATCGGAAAAAATTGTGAAGGGGTGGGGTGTGTGCCGCATTATCAGATCCTGGAAGAGGTGGGCAAAGAATGCGCACGCATGTCTATTTCAGCTATCGCCACGTTGTAGCGGTTAGTGTGAGAGAGGTTGTTTTCATCCTTTTGAAATTAATTATATAGCTTCCGGATGTATATGGACAGCCCGTCCGAGGAAATTTCCTACACGTGCATTGGTCAATGGAACAATTTGTCAACGATTTGTCACAACGTCGAAAGCGACTCGCGTTTTTGATGATACCACCTGGTATGCGATTCTAACGAGCTATATAAATCTCTCCGTCAAAATATCAATTTTAATTTGTAAAATCCAATCATCCGTTTACTTAGACGCATCGTGGCCACTGATATCACAATATAGGTTTGTCACACAAACGTAATATGCATAAAAGTAAAGTTTCTTACCGATATGTCTTCTTTTTTTTAATAGTCGACATCATGAATACGAAGACCTGGCTGGTTTAGACAGCCATCAACTATTTTTTTATGACTACGTGGGTCAATCAACTAATAATTAATCATCCGGTGCATGATCATGAACGAATTTTGACGTACAACTTTTTTCCCTAGGAATTATTCATCGAAGAAGGGCATGCCGCAGACATCTTCTCCAGAATTCGCGATTTGTTGTTCCAACGCGCATCGATCGAAGAGATTCGGGCCCTAATAAAAGCAAAGTCCAGGACCCATTCTCAATCCGTTGCGGTGGAACCCTTATGTAAAGCTTTCGTTTCCAAAGTGCACGACGTAATTATATCTGTGCAACAGCAGTCCAATTTTAGCGAGATAACTATAACAAGTATTTTATCGAGTCAATCATGTTGCCCCATTCATTTGTTGTTGAGTCCATTTTTTATTAATTACAATATCAATTGTTAGATCAAATTTCGAACGATACCATATTAATACCCGAGAATCTGGATTTCTGGGAACTTCTCATTGAACTTGGAGATCAATTATATAGTTTAGTAATATCCGAGTGAGTCGTTTTTTCCTTCACCTTTGCGGTCGACACGGCTTAAACTTACACCTGTTGAACTTTGAATTTTCACTAATTTCAAGGTATATAAAATACGAAGAAATTCTGACCGAATTTTACCACATGGTTTATCCTAAACATGGAGGCCACTCCATTGGTCGCGGTTACACCATTCCCAAAGACAACACATTAATTTGGCTGTTACTGCAACTTTTTCGTATCCTTGCATCTTTGAAACCAAGAAAGAATTTTTTTCATCAGCGGTGATGAAACAAATGTTTCCATGACGCCATTAAATTTTCCAGACATTGAAAGAATCGATGATCAAGTTATCGCTGAGGATATGAAGACTGATGAAAGACTGTTCAGCTTACTCATCCAATTATATAATGATCAACAAACAAGGTCGAAAGACGCCTTTTATTTGCGAGACTTGTCTTTGCAGTGCGCCGTAAGCTAATTAGAGAGGGTTTTTCACTGATTGTTCGAAAGTCGTTCACGCTAATAACAGTTTCTCATTTCCAGATAAATCTGCAAAAATCAAACCTTCGTGATAGGAATAGTCTTAAAGCTCGCCATCCTCAAATTACGGCCGCATTACCTTACTCGGCAATCTTTCCTTCATTTCATGAACATGCCAAGTCGATTCATCAAAGTATCTATGCATTTATTCATTCATTCATTCATTCATTCATTTTTTTTTTTAAAAAAAATCACGGAATCGTTGGATGCGCTAAGATCAACATTAAATTTCTTCTCCAAAGGAGTCGGCTCGAATAACAAGCTCTTCCGAGATTTTACTATTCAGGAAATGATAAAGGTCGCTATTAGCAGTCAATGTATTAAAAATATGACAGCCGACTCAATGTGTGTGCATCTGGTTCCAGCTCCGCGGATAGAGAAAGGAAAACTTGGATTTCCCGAGGCAAAATTTTTGAAGGGTGGAAATCTCAATTATAAGCTTTTGGATTTCATCAATGTCTACAGTAAACACAGGTATTATTTTTTATTTCATTTATTCTCGTTTTATCTATTTTTCACCATTTTTTTTTTTTTCGGAGTTTAGGCTCTTTGGACTCATATATAGCATGATACCTGACGGAGACGCAGGCCAAAAAGTTAACATTGATGATGATCAAAACTTGAATTGTGCGTCTCCGTGTCTTTTAGATGTCCTTTATAAAATTATTTATAGTTCACCTTGGTCGTAAGTTTTCATTACTTTCAATTCATCTAAATTATCACAGTGACCAGTTTTGTGAAAATTTTCTTATATATGTCATGTCATCAATAGACTAGAACATAACTTGAAGGAAATGTTGGATAGATTAAGACGTCTTGACAAGCATATCAAAAGCCATGCCGAAGGGGCTCCACCACCAACTGAACCCTCATTAAGATGGCAACACACCATTTTGCAAGCCCTCAGCCACCGGTTCCTTCGGCTTTTAAAATACTCTTCAAGATCCCATGAGTTACTACATTGTGTTAAGTACTCGGTATCTTATTTAGATCATCGTCAGACATACCGTGACGTTGAAATATTCGCGATCCACATTATGGTATATTTGCTTTCGCCTTCCATACTACAATTTACCCGGGACATTCTAAATAAAAAATTTTTTCGACTCTTTGTAGATGATTCAGAACAATGTGAAGTTCATTAAGAGTTTAATTGATCCGAGTCGTGATAAGCCGCAGTGGTTTCCAGAGTCCGAACTATTGGCAAGATACATGGTTTTTACCTTGGCACGTTTGATAAAATTGAGGTTAGCGCGTTTTCCGCAACTTTTTTTTTTTTTTTCCTTATGAGAATTATCACTGATATTTTGGTTGATTTTTAGAGGCCCGGATGATACTCATGATATCGAAGGCCTATTAGCAAGCATCCATCCTCGTCCGCTTCATTGGTCGTCCACGACACTTGGATTTTTCCCGGAACCGTTGCGATCTCATCTTGCCGCTCAACAACTAGAAATTGGGGATATTCCTTCAATGGGTAGAGACGTAAGTGTGAAAAACAGACGAGTACAAATAAAATGAAATGGATGGATGTTTGGTTTGTGCGAGATATATATATATACATATATATATAATTTTTTTTTTTTTTCTTCTCCTAAATGATCATGAAATGATGTCTGTAAGGTGAAATCGACTGTCGCGATGGAAAGCCTTTGTACATTAATCGTGGATCATGCCATCCCTTCCGACGAAGAAGAGGTTCTGAAAGAGCACTTTTCCAAAATAGAAAACCAACATTTATTCTTGTGTTCGATGTGGAAGATTGGATGTATGCGAAAAAGCATAAGCCCCGACGTCATGAGCCGTAACTATTTCATGAAAATATTATATATATATTTATTTATTTATACATACACATCTATTTCAACTTTCCGAACTTTTCTTCTTTTTTTTTTTTAAAAAAAAAAAAAAAAAAAAATACACATATATATATATATATATACATGCATATACAATTTAGTATTTCGAAAAGTCTTGCTGGAATTTCCACCGTCCAAAATGGCCTCCTATACGATAATACTAATCAATTTTATTGTTGAGATGATAGAGGATGATCCCAATGAACATCCAGTGGAAGTGGTATGTATTTGATAGTTCGCGTCAATTCCATTGGATGCGTGTCCCCATCTCTTTCTAATCGTTTTTTCCTCTAAAATCATATAAAGTGTTATCAGATGCTTGATGAGTTAATTTGGAGATATCAAATTTTAGCATTCGAGCATGTCCTTTTTGCCCTTGTCAGAGGGCATAGCGAAACCAATGCTACTGCATTCGGGATACTCGATTATTTGTTATTTAAATCCGAAGGATTCTCGGAGAGGGTCAGTTACTTCATAAGTCTAAAATTTTCCCATCGTTATTGGGTTGAAGACGATCATCATGATAAGCTGATGAAATACCTTGAGAGGTATCCCGAATATTTTCAATATGAAGCATATGCAATGGATGGTTATGAGATGGTTAACAAACCCCTGGAACCGCCGTTGGACACGCACATGCCAATTTACTACACTAACTCCATTAGAAAATCTTTGCCAATACTTGACATTGTCATCGGAAGATTAGTTGAATTTGGAGAGCAAAAGATGCTCATCAAGTTACTAGACGAATACGGTCGTATTTACAAGTTTCACCAAACCCCACTTTCTTTCGTGCGGGATCTTCTCTGTTATTATTATTCGGTTCCTACGATAAGAGATCCTGAGATAATGACGAGATTAATAAAATTACTTGGTAACAATTTTTCGTGGCCATCTTTGGCCGGTGCAATGTTATCAACTAATCGCAATTTCTTTCATTACCTCTTCTCATTGAATTTAGATTATGATGAATATGATATTGATTCGGAATTGAGACAATACGGGTCTCTCGAGATATTTTCTGAGGATATCTTTGAAATCACGTATTTTGAAAAGGTTTTCCACAAGTTGGCCGAATGTAAGGTTCTCTCCATTATTATTTGACTCATCACGGACGATGAGATATTAACTTTACGCGCATATTAGCAATGCCACAGGAAAAGTATGTCCCAAAGGCCGATACGAACTTACCGGAACGTCACTTTCGCGAGATCCCAAATCCTACTGTGCTCGCGTTACACGTAGCCTGCATAGAAATTCTTGCCATCCCAACATCACCTGAAGAAATAGTGAAAGCAACTTTGGACATGATAATTCGCGCAAATGGTCGCAAGAAAATCTCTTTGCAACCGGTTGTTATTCATGCCGTCGGGTTATTATACTCTTTCCTGCCGACAGAAGAATTCGTCTATAAGGTGTTTGATGAAATGGTGATGACCATAACTACAGATCCTCACCTTAGAGAATTTTCACAGGAATATAATTTGGTTTGGCCTATTTTTCTTCTTCTTTTTTTTTTTTTTATCAATCATTAATTGCAGTGAATCTCACAAGAAACTTATTAAAAATTTCTTCTCTTTTAAAGACACAACCACCTCAACCCTTGTCATCTATGTCTTACTTTGGATATACATCGTATCACTCGACGGACCCGCAATGGCCATTTTCGAATTCTACGCAAGCATTTTCGACAATGTTCCCCTATATATTTAATGATTATACTTCCAACCTTCATAACTTCACGACAAACGTGTCCAATAGTTTCCTCACATTCATTCACAGTTTGTTGCATTACTCGAACACAGAGGTCTTGCAAGTGCTTTTCGTCAAACTTACAACTTTACGGGAAAATATCAAGACCGACATTCAAGTACTTTATCTATGTGCACTACTTGGACCCGTCATACACAGATTAGTGTCCAATTCGTTGATATTATCCGATGTAAGTTGAACTCTTGTATTTTTCAGTTCAATCTTTTTTTTTTTTTTTTTTTTTAATTCATTCATTCTATCGCTTTCCATGATGACAGTACATATTGTACATATTTCAATCGTTACATAATGTCACCCTAAATATGGGAATAGTTGATTGCGGAGACACAACTCTAGCGTTGGAACAAATCTATGACTTTTTGTATCCTTTAAAAAATGCTCTTCCGGTGTGCTTGATCATTTCATCTGATGACATAAAATATTTCCTTGATTCCACCGACTGTCCCTAGGCATTTCATTAAGCCCATTATATTGAGCGATCCACTTACATTTGCTAATGCTCAACAAATAATCCGAATTATGAAATTACCGATACAGAGTAGATTATGTGGGTTCCTTATTTAAAAAAAGGAGCAATCGGATTTTTTTTTTTAGAACGCCACAATTCCGTATCAACGTGGTGCGACATTTGACGCGCAACTACCGGTAGAAATAGAAACAGATTACTATTTATAAGTTGTCGAAAACATTTAATGATCTATTATTTTTGTTTTTTGTAATTGGGTTAGAATTTATATGTATTGCAACCTTTTCTTTGTATGGAAAGAATTGGCAACTTGGTCAACTGATTCGTCATTTGGTCTCTTGCAGTACATAATCTTAATTTGTTTGAATAATCTCAAGGCGAAAATACAATTTTTAAATTGCTGTGGGCGAAAAAAAGGGCGAGCGATTTTTTTTCGCATCGATCACGTGATCAAAGATCGCGACATGACTGTTATATTATTATGTCTTGCATTACTTACTCCGTGCCATCGCACTTTTTATGACCTCAGCTGATGATTGTTTTTTCTTTTTTGCTTCGTTTTGATTGTTCATTTTTCCAAGGGGTATGACAACTCGATTGCTTCGCGTGAACTTCTATCGTCTTTCTTATTTTATTCGGGGGTTTCTTTTGTGACCTTTCACGAGGGGCGATTACACAATCGCCATGACAAGTCTTCTGACGGGTAAGTAATTCAGGGAGGAACTACCTTAAGGCTCGCCCAAATCGTGTTTGAGGGGAGAGACATCTCTATCCGCAGGTTACGCGAGCATTGGGTCATTAGCGACAGACTCGTCGATTAGCCCGCTACGAGATTATATACAGTAAAATTACTTTGAAAGTTTGATACAATTTATATTATATTTTTTAATAAATTTCATTGAAAAATAATATCATTACTCGAACAAGATTATTCATTACATGAATTTTACTACACAGCTAAAATTTGATTTTTCTTTTTCATCATCATTGTTATCCAAAAATATCACATGATCTTGTGAGTACTGCATCGTATTAAATAAATTATCCATAACAAGTGTGAATAATAAAATCGATACGATTGCCAAAATTCTTCTAATCTCATACCTTAAGAAACGCATCTCTTTGTAAATTAAATTTATCAAAATTATCATAGTCGAGATGTTGGCAATTAAAAGGAAAGAAATACGTAATAGCAACAATAATTTGTATTTCAAGAACAAGCAAAGTTACAAGATATACCGTATGTTTACCTTCTCTTGTAGCCCGTTAAGGTTTGTTCTCACGAGCATTTTTTTTGTATTAATCCGTAATTCATTTTCACTCTTTTCTGGCATCACCATATAAATCAATGTTTGTATTATAAAATTATATAGATATCACTTTTTTTTTACTCATTATTTAAAAAATAAAATCAAATGAATTAAAAATAAAATAAATAAATAAAATTTTTTGACCAATTGCCCGGTTTGGGTGGTAACCGTGATGACATTGTTTTATTAAATAAGAAAGCTTTGATTGCAATCGCGATTGCAAAAAAAAAAAAAAAATAACTTGTAAATGCAAAATGCCAAACTCGTCAAAGTCAATAACGAATATAGTATATGCGAAGATTTTTTTTTTTTTTTTTAAAAAAAAACAGGTCTAGATCAAATATGGAAATGGAATTAATGACATCTATGCATGAATGTACGGTTTCCGGAAAAACCACAAGACTACACTACGCCTACGACTTACTTTCAAATATGGAAGATATGTCAAGACACGCGAAATCCTTTCTCCGATTCGAGGGAAATATCATCCTCGGAGGTGACCAGTGCCAGCGAATTGACTAAAAATGCCGGGAGATCCGAATTCATTGTGAAATTGTGCTTTGTTACGAAATTACAACTGTGGATGCTAAGAAGGTGAAGACAGCGCTGCAATTACGGAAAATTATTTGCAAGAGCCGATATTGCTATGCCGAAACCTTGCGTGCCTTGGGTCACCCAGTACTTGCTGCTTCGAAATATGGGAAATTAGCTTCACGATTAAGGAAACCGATGGATGCGATATCTGAAAATGCAATGTTTGCTGCGGATGTTTTGAGCATCCCTGAGCTTGATATAGTGAGTGAGAAAAGGTTGAAGGTTGTTTTACGAAAGCTTCTTCACTTTTCGCGGACACATTCACCTTCTTGACGGGTAAGACCACTCACTGCTCACCTGAACTTGTCGAGATTCTTGATCACCCGAGACGTGGCGTCAAGTGTAACTTCACTATTCGTTCGGTTCGTCAAGGTTGTTATTTGACCAAGAATCAGAGCAAAAACCCATTTGGGCATTGAAGAAATCAAACATCTTTTGCGAAAACATGCGAGCCCGCATCACTGCAATATGTCTTCGAACATTTATAACAAATGCATTTAATGAGAGAACTCCAGATGTCCTCGACGTGTCTCTTCAACCACGACCGCGAATCCTTCAGTCTTGCGTATGGATGCAACTGAAAACTGTGTTGTGGAAAATGTGATCCCAGGACGTGTGAAACCGCTTCGGGGATGCGAACAAATGGGTTATAACTCCCTTAGTCATACTGCTTTTACTTCAAAGTAGGTAAAGAAGAAAGAAGAACTCTTCGATTCTTACGTTACTTCTCCGCGTATTCAATATGAGGACCTCATGCGATTGCTGTGGATGTGAGGGGGACCAAGGCTTTCTTTGGAATCTGTATTATTGTGATGATGATGATGATGATGATGATGATGACCAATCAAGCCTAAATTGGATATAATACTGTCGATACCGACCGCGAATATTTCTTTTCGGGGTGAATAAACATTTTGACCCGAATTCTGTCCACACATCAACTAATAAAATATACAGCTAAAAATAGCAACCATAGAGAATTTTTAAAGTTATTATTGTACAGGATAATAAGAATCCTGCCGTGACAAATTTGCGAGTAATAATTCCAAAAAGAAAAAGCCGTGTGAGCTTTGTGGTGGTGAAAAAAAAAATAATAATAATAAAAAAAAAAAAAAAAAAAATGCAATGGTGTATGTATGCTGAAAGATATGGCAATTTTCCATTTTAGCCAAAAACATTTTTGTTGAAATCATTGGTATAACATGATTTTTCGTGAAACACGAATACTTGAAATGATTTGTATAAAGAAACAATTATAATCACTTGGGTCATGAAAATCATTGTCCAGAAATAAAGTTCATACGAATTTTTTTAAAGAAATTCTAAGGTATGCAAAAAAAAAATGTCCATTCTCTTGATGCGCTTGCGATCGACAAGACGATGCGCGTGGACTCACCTCATGAAGTAGAGTGATCAAAGAATAATAATAAGATTAATTGTTCACGAATAATTGTTACAGCTTTAGGAAATATCTTTCCACCTGGATTTCCGAGAACATGGATTTTTCTTTTTCACAATGTTCAACCATGCGAAAATTTACCGCTCAAAATCGATTGTCTTACAAATCATGCCATAACGATTGGTGATCATAAATTTCATTATTAGACTTTTTGAATTCATCTAGCTATTTTTCTCTGCGAGCTGTACGTAATCACAACTTCCTTTGTAACACGATGCAAATAATGCCAAGATCATATCTGGTATGCATTCTTAGTAGAATTTTTTTGCATATGGTTTACATGCATACAGTACATACCCTTCGTATAATCGTCCGTACAATTTTTACTTTAAAGGGTCATAAGGAACTGCTACGCAAAGGTGTATGATGATGTCGTTAAGCCGACTGTGCACTAATGCAATGGCATTTGTTCTCACGTTCTTTAACCGTTGATTCGTTGCATTGTAGCCCTTGCGAATCGCATTGTCATAATTTCGATTCAGAAGACGATCTTAATGGATTGATGTTTTAAAGATAATAAAAAGAAAAATAAAAAAGCAAAATAGAAGCAAGTTGACTATCAGCCACTCAACAACGTGAAATCATTCACACTATTGTGACTCTTCAGGGCACAGAAAATAAAATGAAATGAAATAAAAATAAAATAAAGTAAATAAAATAATGATAAAAAAAAAAAAATTATTGATATTGTTTCGTCTTCGTAACCAACCATTCCATTCTTCTCGCTCATTCATTCTTACTTAACTCGTTATGTTGATGCGACGTCCACTCTCGCTCGCCGTCATTGGAGATTCTGATCGCGAAAGATTGCAAAATCGTTTTTATTTGTGCGCCTTTTCCATCGCAGAAATCTCATTATCGTTTTCCTATTGTCAACAACCGTGACCCCATTCATTCCTCATCTTTTTTTGAAGGAGTCCAAAGTTGATTTGACTACGCTTTCTGCAGCGGCTTACCATGCATTTGTTTTAGTCAGATGGTAAAAAGATTAAGAGGAAGAATTGCGATCACCCATATCAATGTCGATTCCGTTGTTGGTCGAATACGCCTCTTTTGTTTCGATTAGGAATTCGCCTCTTGGTCCCCCCTGGTAATAGGTTGCACCTTTGTTTCCTGTGACAGTGAACTTCCTACTTTTCGGTGTACGATTTGTATATTTGGCACCGCGATTGCACGTGATCAAAATTTCTTCGCTATTTCGTGCAACATCGTAAATTATATAGTGAAACATCGCACACGCTAGATGTAACGTTTTGTAATATAATACATGACTACAAAAAAAAAAAAAAATAAAAAAAAATAAATAAATAAATAATAAACAATGCAAAATAGGATGTTCAAACGGCGAGATTGCGGAATTGCGCCTCTTAATAAATTTACCAAAGGTAGGCGATCGATATTATGTCGAAATCACCTTTACACCACAATCTCTCCACACCTTGGTTAAAAGGAGGGAGGGGAGTTGGACTAAACGTGAATACGAAGTTTTGTTGTTGAGAAGAGACGCGGGACCGATACCTTCTCGCCTGCCGCTCACGGTATTTTAATCGTATCACCGCTCTTCGCAAACGATTACCCGGTCATTTATGGCCACATTAAAACCAAAGTAACCAGGAACAACGAGACATTAATATCAGCGTGCCTATTTGTTTGCCCAAGACATTGCCCTTACCTTACGTGTACCATTCACGATCAGACCTCACGTATACCGCATTTATTCATAATGTATGTCAGAATGCATATGCTAAAATAAAGAACCAACGCACATATGGGAAAATGCGCATAATGTGCAACTAATCAAGATCTTCCTACTCGAGATATGAGCAAAAGACAATACTTAAGAGTGTACCCCGAAGAACTCGGCGAATTGCATTTTGTGCTACCGAGATTTTTAAAAAAAAAAGGGACAATATTAATTTCCCATGATAACAATACTAAATGGTTTGAATAAAACAATCCTAAGAGAGAATATGAAGATCGTGTCATTATTTTTCCGACATAATTTATGCAAAAACGAAAACGACAGTTCTATGATATACCGCATCCAGAATGATTGAAAAGCGTCTTGATTTTAATTTAATTCATCTTATTTGACTATGCTTTCGGAGTGCACTGAGAATACAAGAATATGTGAATATGCATATAAAAAAAAAAAATTATTATTATTATTTTGTTATCTTCGCAAGTGCTTTATTGATGCGTATTATGTTTTAACCCAACTTTCACGACAAATATGGTATTCAAATGACCTCAAGGTAAGTTTTACGTTGTGAGTGTAACGTAACGTTCAACGACTACGTACTCTAAAATGGTCATATTAGGATAATGAGAGTATAGAAAAGCAATAATAATTGTCTCTCGGTAAATAAAAACGTGACTTCAATTAGCAACAATCGAAATCTTAACTCTACACCGCTTCCAAATTCTCGGTTTCCCTGTTACATTTTACCTGCGAAATCGAAAAAACTATTAAAAGCCACCGGTTTCCTCAGACAATACCCAACTACAAAAAAAAAAAAATTCTCTTCTTTTTCAATTTTCTAATTTTTCTTTCTAAACGGGCGACGAGTGTTAAAAAAAAAACGAAAACATTCGATCGTCTTTTTTCTTTTTTCATATATATATATATATACCCTTTTACTTTATAATCCGCCGAAAAAAAATTCAAGTCTTTGAAAGATTTGAGTTTTTTATTTTTTTTTCAAAAAAAAAGAAAAAGAAGTGAATTTAAAATTCTCCTTTTACGTTTCTATCTTCACGCGAACTAATAATTTTTTTATTTTTTTTTTTTATTTACGAAAACACTAATCCACACCCTACAAAATTTACGCTACGTCTCTTTAATCCACTCTTGTAAAATAAAAACACGATGTCTCACACTACAAATGTAACTTCGTCCTCATCTCCCATCCCAAAAAATTCTCGCATCGGTATAATAGGTGCCGGGCCGGCCGGAATTTCAACCGCCCACTTTCTACGCAAGGAAGGCTACTCGAACATCACCCTACTGGAATCCTCTTCTCACATCGCCGGAAAGAGTTCCACCTTCATACACGAAAATCGTGGTTACGATGTCGGCGCTTTGATGATTGGTCACAACTACAAGAACGTAAAATCCCTGGCCGAAGAGTTTAATTGCCCCATGGAGAAGTTCAACGGAAGTTCATTGGACTTCGACACCAACAAGTACATATCGGAGGATGTCAGTCAAATCGGAATTCTTACCAATTCATTCCTGAAGAACATGTCACACTACCTGGAGGAGAGAAAAGCTTTTCAAGACATTTCACTGCCCGGTCACGGGGATCTCTCGGAGAACGCGTTGTATGCGCCGATCACCCAGTACTTGAAAGACAGAAAGATGGAATATCTACAGGACGCTTGGAGTTTAGCTTACACCTCGGCCGGTTACGGTTATGTACAGGATGACATTCCTGCTGCCTACTTCCTGAAATTCATACAAAATTCGGAGAACACCATCTGGTATTTTAAAGATGGCTTCCAAAATTTCTGGTCCAAGATGTGCGAGGTAATTTTCTCTCATTCGGTGTCACCCTTCCCTACCTAATTAACCAGCGCGCGACAATTACTAAACGTCCTTTCTTTCCTCCTCTTCTTCAGGGTCTCAATGTGATCTTAAATTCGAAAGTGATCTCCATCGACCGTTCCCTAAAAAATCAAAACCTCGGTCCAATCCTCGTCACCAGCAGAAACTCGACCACCAGCTTTCAACAGACCTTGGCATTCGACCAAATCATCGTCGCCACGAATCCGCGACAATTCACTCAATTCCTTGATACCCCCTCACCACTGGAAACCTCCCTATTTTCACAAATCATCACATTCGACTTCTACACCATAATAGCCACCGTTGAAGGTTTGCCCACCAAGGTTGGCATGACCACCATACCCAAGCATTGTTCGGACAGTCGATACGCGGGTCACATCACCGCTTACTATTGCGCTTACGAGGGGGTACCGACCTATCTGTTCTACGCTTACGGAAATAAAGAGATCGATCAGGAAAAGGTGACCGAGATGTTCAAAGAGGATCTGCTACACATGGGCGGTAACCTAAAGGAGATTCATTACAATCAACGCTGGGACTTCTTTCCTCACGGTATTGTGTCTAATAATTGACCGTGGACAGTTATTTGCTTTGTCGAATGTTATCTCATCTCACATCTCCTTCTTTCGTTTGTAAAGTATCGTCGCTCAGCATGGCCAGGGGTTTCTACAGCAAAGTTGAAAATATGCAAGGCCAAAATAGCACCTTTTACGTTGGAGGTTGGCTTGACTTTGAGCTCACCGAGAATTGCGTTTCATACAGCCGCGACCTTGTCCGCCGCTTCTTCAATCTCTCCGGGGCCTCGCAAACCGAGATTCTTCACCTGCCGATCCGCGCGAAATACGACGTCAGACCTCCGTCGACCACAAACTGGGGTTCGGTGTTACGAATAGCTGCCAAACGATTCCCCGAGCGGACAGCGTTTTCTTGGGTCGACGTGAACCTGAGGGAAGAGGCCAACACAAGCTTTGGGGAGCTGTATCGTCAGGCCCGTGCCGTCGCCCAATACTTGCGATACACCGAGAACCTCAAAGTTGGCGATCCCGTGTTGCTCTGTTACGCGCCGGGACTCAAATTCTTGCCCATCCTCTTTGGATGTATGATGGCCGGTGTCATCGCCGTTCCCATCGCGCCGCCAAATCTCGCCACCGCCGAAAAAGACATTGCCAGGTTCAAGTACCTATCCGAAGTCACCGGTGCAAAACTGGTCTTTAGCGACAAGAATTATATGCTGTACACGCGACTCTACGCCGCAAAAAGTCTCTTGGGACTTGGCAAGAAGATCGATTGGCCCGAGGATCTGACCTGGATCGAGTGCGAAAAGGTCGTAAAGTCGCGCGAACTCCTTGACGAAAAATTGATCGAACAGGTGGACTGCGACAGTGTTGCCGTGCTGCAGTTCTCATCGGGTAGCACGGGGGATCCTAAAGGTGTCATGCTCACACATAAGAATCTGCTGCATAATGTGGACCTGATGCAAACCGAGATTGGGCTAAACGCGGATTCCACGATTGCGTTCTGGGTACCACAGTTCCATGACCTCGGATTAATCGGCGGTTTCTTGAACACTGTCCGGGGGGCCTGCAGGTCGTGCGTGATGTCACCGTTGACCTTCCTGCAAAAACCGGAATGTTGGCTTCAGATGGTAGGTCGTGATTCGACAATTCTGTTGTTGTTGTTGTTGTTCCATCGCCGGTCCCGATGAACTCGTCATCTGATGCATGTGCATGTTTCATCGAACGTGTTTGCGCGCACACAGATATCCAAGTACGGGGCGACATACACGGCTGCACCAAACTTCGCATACGAACTGGTGACGAGAAAGTGCCCCGAGGAAACCATCCCTTCCCTGGACCTAAGCTCTCTAAGAGGTGCCTTCAACGGCGCGGAACCCGTTCGCTGGTCCACCCTGAGATCGTTCGCCATGAAATTCGGTCCGGCCGGATTCAAGCTATCAATGTTCAGGTGCCTCTACGGTCTGGCCGAACACTGTGCCTACTCCGTCGGATTCCGCAACCTACACGACGTGCCCACCGTTATCGACATCGATCCTGTGATGCTCCGGCAGGGACACGTCAAGATAAGAAGCAAAGCCTCGGGTAACCAGAGTAACACGCCGCCCAATAACATCGTGTCAACCGGCGTGCCCAATTTGTCAATGGGGATCGAGGTGAGAATAGTTGATAGTGAGACGAGGCAACTTTGCTCGCCCAAGACGGTCGGCGAAATTTGGGTGTCGAGTCCAAGTGTGGGCAGGGGATACTACGGTAAAGAAAAGGCCTCCGAGGAAACATTCAGAACGAAGTTGGCCAACTGCGATCACGGCAATTGGGTCAAGGATCACGGCAGCTTCCTGAGAACGGGTGATCTCGGGTTCATGTACAACGGAGAACTATTCGTCACCGGAAGGGTAAATAGCAAGCTGATCATTTTGTTTTCTTCCTCCCTTCGCCCTTTTTTTCACGTCATGCTAACGCGATCGCCATGCTTTGGTGACGATAGGAGAAGGATGTCATCATCATCAATGGCAAGAACCACTATCCACAAGACATTGAGCTTTCCGTCCAAGAGTGTCACAACGACATACGACCCGGATGTGTGGCGGCACTTCATCATCAAGATCACGAGGTCGGTACCGATTCGCTGATAGTTCTCGCCGAAATTCGTAATCAAAAAGACGTGAAACCCCAGTCCCTGCAACAAATTGTTGACGCGATAAGTCGCATCGTACCCGCGGAACACGGTTTATCCCCACAAAGGATCATCATCCTCAAACAGCACAGTCTGCCAAAGACGACGAGCGGAAAACTCCAACGATCCAAGGCGAAGGAAATGGTGTTGACCGGTTCGCTCGATAAGAAGATCCTCCTGAGTGTCGGGGAGGTGGTTGCCGATCCGGCGTTTGCCGAAGAACAGAGACGAGCGACTCCCAAGGACATCCCCGACGTACCAAGCATCGAACAGAGAATTGTCACTCACGTTCACCTGATCTCAAAATTGGCCGCCAAGTTACCGCTCAGTGAAATCGATGTCAAAGCTAATCTCATCACCACCTACGGTTTCGACTCCCTCTGTGCCGTGCAGTTGACCGCTTGTCTCGGCAGCGAATTTGGCATCGAGCTTGCGCCGGCCCTCATGTTGGACCTGTACACCATCTCCGATTTGGCCGGACACATCCATGACCAGCTGAAATCCAATCAACTGTTTGACGAACCCGAGTGTTACGAGGAGGAGGAAGAGGAAGTGATGCCACTTAAAGAAATTCAGGAGACCATAGCCAAGCTCGTCCACTCCATCTCCAAGTTGGCTTCCAAGGGGTCGGTGGAAGACCTCGATTTGAACGCCAATCTCATCACCGATTACGGGTTCGACTCGTTGGCCGCTGTGCAGCTGACCGCGTCGATGACCACCAGCTTCGGTATGGAGATTGCGCCGACGTTATTATACGAGGTTCACACCATCGGAACCCTGGCGAATCACGTGCACGGGAAATTGCTGGAGAAGAGGTCGACGAAGAGGACAACGAAGAGAAACGCCGTCATTGAAGCCGACGAACCACGGGTTCAGGACAAACCAAGAGAAACGCCGAAGTTAGTGCCTCTCGCCCCACGAAACGTTATCAACAAACACAATCCGGCCCTCTACTGCATCCACCCATTACTAGGAAACGTGGCCTCCTACGTCCATCTGTCACGAAATCTCGGCATCACACGCCCGGTGTACGGAATTCAGGCGCCGGGTGATGTGGAGAGCGACATCCCATCGATGGCACGTCGATACGTGAGACTGCTGCTTGACACTCAAGAAAACGGACCATACTACCTGTGCGGGTATTCCTATGGTGGACTCGTGGCGTGGGAAATGGCCAAACAATTGCAACAAGCCGGTTCAAAGGTCGGAGGGCTCTACCTCATCGATGCGCCTTCACCATTGGTGAACCAAGTCCGTCCGCCAATTGGCTCTCGGGAGGAACCCCACGTACTTTGGGAGTCCGACATTGATCAACTGTTGACGGACGTTGATAGCCGATGGATGGATCGACAAGGGTCCGAGGATCCCGCAAAGATCGAAGAGTTCAAGCGCCAAATTGGCATCCTCATAGCATCAATGTACAACTACACCGACGACGTCTCCACGCCCGAAGCCATTCAACCATTCCCCGTACACTACTGGCGAGCAAAGGATTACCAAGCAAAGACCAGCAAACTATTGTTGGATCACCCGTTGTTCAATGAGGCCAATTTTGGATGGGATCGATATCAAGGCGAGATCACCTTCCATCGTCCAGTGTCCGGTAATCATTACACGATCCTCCGCGAAGAAACTTCGGGACGTTTGTCACGTGAATTTGATCTGAACATGCCCACTAATAAGAGCAAGAGGACCTCGAGCATGGACCTGAAACCGTTGATCCTAGAGGGAATGGCCACAAACACGTCAAGCAGGTCGAGCCGACCGAGCAGTTCTCCGGCATCGGAGAGGAATTCGACGATTTCGGCGTTCCCATTGTTCAGATCGGTTAACAATGAAGACAGTTCACTGACCAAGCAGCAGCACCACCACCAGCTTGGGACCATGAGAGCCCTGATGGGTGCCAAGGTGCCTTTCCCGGTTATGATACTAATGATGACGGCGTTCATCTGGATGTATAATCATTTGACGGTATCATACGCATCTCTGTGATAGAACGATTAACCTCGACGAACTTTTTATCATCATTATTATTATTATTGTCATTAGCATTATTAATTAATTTGTATAGTGGGTTTGGGTGTGTTGCTTGTATGTATATATGTATATCGTTTTAATATTTCGTATTACTTCTAATTTAGTTTCGCGTGTAATGAAAGTCATTCCTTTAAAAAAAAACAATCGATCCATCCTTCTGAGATGGAATATTAACATGCATATATTATATATGTTTGTGTATTTATTTGGAAAAAAAAAAAAAAAAAAAAAAACCCCCACTCCTTAAGATGAAAAGATTTTTTGTTCAAAATTTAAATTCTTTCTTGGGACGGAAACCGAAATAATTTCCTTTTGTTTATATATCACATCCTTTTTTTTTTTTCTTAATAAAATTTTTCTGTTCAATATTCTTGTAAATACACTCTTCTCGAGTTTCTCGTGTTTCCATTGGTATCCGTTTTTAGCACAAAGGATTCAATAAAAAAAGAAACTTGAAATATTTAAACCGCTTGTTCGGCTTATTGGGATTGGGCATGGGTGCGAGTAGTTTACAAACGCGGTGAGTCAACGCGTCCCATTGACATTTTTGAAAGTTTTGTAAAACACGGAGGCGATTGATTATTACAACCATTTAAGCAAAGATTAAATTTATTGGTATCTTGGCGCCATACTTATTCTCACGTCCCGCTTCTTTAATCAATCCCATTTAATCACATCAGGATGTAATTTATAAGCTTCGTAAGCCTCCCTATTGAAAAATGAGATTTCGGACTCGTTCTCTACACGTTTCATGAACGCGAATGTCGAAGAGTTGGTGAGTTGTTTTACGTTCGTTCGTATTTGTCAAACTTGACGTTCACGATGGTACGAACCTAAACTACATGAAATCAAGGTGTCCTCGTCATTGCTAAAGATCCATCCCTCGTGATCAAGGTTTATTATCAAATTCTGCGTCTAGATGTCATTTTTAGATGTTAGTATTGATCCTCTATCTTTTAGCATAAAGAGTGTCTCCGGAAAAAAAAACGAAAACAAAAATGTCATAGATCACCTTTGCGCCGTGAGCTTTGGTGTAAAGTTTTAACGTATCTTTTAGGATCATGAAGTTAGAGGTTAAAGTGTAATGATGCAGCGGACGAATTTCAAAGGTTTCTTTTTTTTTTGTTTTTTTTTTTTTTTAATTACCACAATTCACGTTACGAAAAGGTTTAAATCCGGAAATTGTGTTTATTTCTACTCAATCATCATTCGCGATTCGCAAAACATCAAGGAATCAACGACTTGGAAAAAAAAAAAAAAAATCTTTTTTCATTATTCTAAATCATAAACGAGTTTACTTTCTCTGATGATATTTTTCAACTCTCCAACCGTGGTGGTCTCCAAATTTACATGTTGCAAGACCAAGTTCTTGACTGTACGATACTCAAAGTTCTTTACAATTCGAATGGTCAGTGTTGATGAGGTGGTGGGATTTAAAGTGTTGGTAAGTGGTTCGGTGATGGACATTATTTTGTATGCTGATGATCGCAAAGGTGGAAAAATCATTTACGCACGCACAGCACAATGCTCGTGTAACGTCGGTAAAAGTCAAAAAAAAAAAAAAAAAAAAACACACACACACACACATATATATATATACATATATATATTATTCAATACATGAAATGCACACGTTTTGACGGTACTTTCAAAACTGAACTCCGTCAACTAGCTTCTCATTAATTATCCCGTCTATTTCTTATCATGCGTCGCTCTCTCCAAATCCGTGACTTGATCCTCATCACTGGCGTGAACTATCAAATACTCATAATTCTTTGGTTCTTTCCTGCACCTGAATAACTTGACGAAGAATGGGATGGCGGCAGAGAAGGCCATCAAAATCACGAACAATATGCTCACGGTCACAATCAACGAATTCCGCTTGTCCGACGGCGGATTTTGTTGCATCGTGATGTCATCATATAGAGCGGGCCTGTCGCCAAATGAAAAACCGAATGGCAAAGTTGCGATCGCTGAATCGTCATCAATTCCCACATCTTGGTCGAAGTAATCATCCGGCTCTTCTTGTTCCACAGGCGGCCCTCCTCCGACAATGGTGATCTCAATGGTGGTAATCGAAGATTTACCGTCATCTTCGTCCATTACATCGATTACATCGAAGTCGTTGTTCAACGAATCAAACATCTCCTTGGTGGCATCGATAGATAGATCCAACAGTTCGTCCATTAACGCGAACGGATTCGACTGAATTGTTTGGTGTGGCGACGAGGAACCGAATATATCGAGAAGCGGAGGTGAGGAGTCTTCGTGATGGGACGATGGGAAAGGGAACAGTGAGCTAGAGTGAGATGACCGGTCCCCCGCAGGCCGGCATTTTACGGAAGCGAAGAGTGGCAAGGTTAAAAGAAAACTTAGGAGAGTGAGCCTCAACATTTCGGTCGTCCCACTTTAGCAACTTGCAATAAATATGTTTTGTTGATCGGTATTGTCGATATGTGTTCAGTTGCGCCCGTGAGGTGGTTCCTTTGGGGCATCAAAAGAAATGTTTTCGCGAAGCATTCGAGGGACCATTTTATAATATGGTCGGTTCATGCGCATTACTGATCGGAATAACCGTCGTCAAAAGATCATTTTGTTATTTACGATTTACGATATCAGTCCTCTAATTAAATGATGGATCGATTGTTTTATTGATTCATTCATGTGGAGAATGATGATTCACTTCCAAAATTGAATGACACAAAAAAAATGAAAAATAAAAAATCACCGTTTTAAAAAATACAACTTTATATTGATACATATATATAAACTGATTCGATTAATCAATTGAGGAAATGCGCATCGCGCAGTGAGATAAAAAAATTTTTTTGCAATCAATCACGCGTTGCACCTCGAATTCTTCCCACTTGAAATTGACAGCACTTTTTCCGAAGGAAGAGTAGAAGTACACGCAATTGTCCGGAAAAGGGAAATTGGCGATGACTTGCTCTACGCAAACTCGAGTCAACGGGAATTCGAGCAATCTATCTCTCCAAATTAGTCTTTCAAAGGGTTAAACCATTCATCCTTCCTAATGACCTTTCCAACCCCCCCCCCCTTAAATTTGTTACTCGCGCGCATTGCAAATACAGTGCATGATCGTTCCGTCAATGTTAGAGGCACAGGACACGGTCGAAGTGGCTAGATGCAAAAAAAAATTTTTTTTTTTTTTCTCCGACAAGGTCGAGGATCCGTTGTTAGATGATGCATGGCGGCATCACCGTAAATCAATCTGCAAGTAAAAAAACAATAAAAATAAATAAATAAATAAAAATTTTCTCGCGAGTTTCCCGGGAATTATGAGCTGCACCAACGACGTAACGCTGGTAGGAAATTAATCATCGTTGGATGTTCAACACTAGTTTCTAGTGTAACGTTCGTGCGATTTAATGACAATTATGGTGCTGCTTTTCTTAATGTTTGATGTTTTTATCTGAAAAAAAGTTTTCGTGCGTTTGGTGTCGTTGTCCAAACATAGTTTGGTGACAAGTTATCTTGAAATTTTCCTTCTCCTTGAAATCAAAGCTTATTCAACCGTCAACAGTAATCAGTCTAATTATACCTTGTAACTTGATCTGTCGTTCTGTGGAATACCTTTTTTTTTTTTGATGAAATTTGATTTCTTGGTTGTTGCAATTTATGAAAATTAAAATGAGTCCTAAGGGCACGAGAGGTAAGATAACCGCCGTCTTCTCGTGTCTTCGCACATTTGGGAAAGAATTATCGGAAGCTTTTTTTTCTCTCAGTGTTGTTGTGAACGAATTGAAACGTTAATGAATAGTTGATTCGAGTCTCAATGAAATATCATATCCTCAAAATTCATTCATTGCAGATGAATATGAGACCATCGCGAAGAGGCGTCCGAGGCGTGCGGCAACTCAGAGTGTCTCATATAATGCACGTCCCGCTCGTGCAAGAACAACCCGTACCTCCACCCGCAAACAATCCCATTCGCAATCACTACAGGCTGTTGAAACACCGCCGGCCGAGGTCGATGCTTCCGACGAAGGACCACAGGAATCTGATTCCATGGGCATCGACGAAAGAGCCCAGGCCTTACCCCCGTCGACCCGTATTCGTCTTAGGATACAATCGCCCGAAAGCAGTAGTCCGCCTGAAAAATCACCCAAACGAAAGCGTAAGGCCGGAAGGCCGCGTAAAAATGACTCCAAACGTCATCGTGTCACCCTGACTCCCGGCGATCGTGACAAACCCGAGGAGTCATCATCGCGACCAATGGAAGATGTGGAGGATGCACAGCAGGCAGACAATGAGATGGATGATAAGACGTCGACGATTAATGTCAAAAAGGAACAATCATCGGTGAATAATGTGGGAAAGACAAAAGATGAAAAATCACTGGACATCAAGGAGGAGGCCGCTGAAGAAGTCGAAGTCCTGGACGAAAAGGGTGAACAGAAGATCACCAAGGACGGTGAACTCCTGGGAGGTGATGCGTCGAGTCATCTTTAGTGTGAACGGCGAATTAACCTTTGGATTCGGACTAACGTTATCAACGTTTTCTTAATCCTCCTCAGGTAGGAAATATAGAGTCCCCGTTTTCCGGTTGGATTCACGAGGACAAACGGTATTCATGTGTTCCATGGAGCCGGCAAAATGTCTGGGGTTTCGTGACAGTTATTTATTCTTCTCGAAGAACCCCTCCCTAAAACGGATCGCGGCAACCGACCAAGAACGCGAGTGGCTTGTTGCTAACGGTTATCTGCCGACGAACTTTAGGAATCGGGCCATCACCCTTGTTTCCGCGAGATCCATATTTAAACTGTTTGGCCACAAGATCGTGTTAGGCGGGAAGCGACGAAGAGATGATTACTTCGAATCAATAACCAATTATGACGAATCTAATTACAGCGATCAAGGTCAAGATTCGGAATTGGAGAGCGCCAACAACATCCTTTCACGACGGGCCAACGCCAATTACATTCAAAATCCGCGTGTCCTTGTGAATGAGACGAATTGGATGTACCATCAAGCGCTCTCGTGTCGTGATTACAACAGTCGATTGAACATCCATCGTTCCGAAAAGTCGAAATTTTACGATCCGCACACCAACATCGATCAAGTCTCTCGTGACACCCAACCGACACGCATTCGGGTTGAAATGATTTCCCCGGTTAATTATTCTTCGAGAAACAGTGGATCATCGACGCGGGTGAAACCCGAAATCGAATTTGTACCAAAGATCGTGAATCCTCATAAAACGCTCGGTACGGAGGTTATGGAGGTTCTGCCCCCTGAGATCAGGGAGATTGTTGAGACCATGAAGAAGAACGAGGAACTGGCCGAATTCAAGATTGAAGACAGGTATCCTCTGGTAGTGGCAGACGGTCAATTCCAAACCTCATATCCAGTGTAAGCATCACCAAGCGTTCTCTTGATCACGTCGACCGGGACTCGCGTTAACCGATTTTCCTTTCTTCCGACAGGTATCAAACTCCGTTTAAGTCCAGTGTTCCAAACGTCCCTATGACCACAACCCTGAATATGCCAACCACGCCAGACACTGTTGCGACAGAGGAGCATTCTTACTTTCATTTCAAGAAGGTTCAACCCATGCCAGCTTTTGGCAATCAGGTATTAAACTTTCTTGGGACCCCTTCTTTCAAGTTCGCTCAATCAGAGGTTTTGTTTTTAAACAATGGGATTTTAATTAGACAGGGAGGAATATCTCGCAATACACGTCGAGCAAGGCCAATCCTCAGTATATATGTGGCGTCATAACCGCGACCACCGGTCAGCCATGTAGGCGAGCAGTAATCGCCGAAGGGGAAAAGTGCATGTATCACAAGGACAGCGTGCAAGCTCCTGCATTCGTTGGTCGCCCCGTGGGCCGGAACAAACCTGTGAACTCGGTCGTGTCTTCTGTACAGGTAAACAATAATTTGTTAATCTTGTAAATCTTGAATATTCAAGCTGATCCGGGGTGTGTGTGTGTCTGTCTCGTTTGATGACCGCAGACGGATGCGGCTGGAACCTCCGGTATCCTACCTCCCGCCCCCTTCCCCGTTCCTCCTCCCCACGCCTGTGCAATATGTTTTTCCACGGTTGTCCCCCAGACCCTACAATTGCCCCCCAATGTCTCGTGCTCCACCGAGCACATTACCGAGTGCTCACAATGTCACCGAAAATATCATCCCATTTGTCTTGGTCTCACCACACCCAGACTTTTGGTTTCCATTGAAAGTTACCAGTGGCAATGTAATGATTGCAAGACTTGTTCGGTTTGTAAATCCTCTGGCGATGAAGCCACTCTTCTCATATGCGACGACTGTGATCGAGCCTGGCACCTTGACTGTAGCGAGCCAAAAGTTACCGAAGTTCCACAAGGTAATCAATCACTTATCTTTCCCGCGTGGCTTGGAATCTTTGCGTGAAATTTTTGAGCTGCTCAATAACATCTTCCTCCCTTCACCAGGTCCATGGTTGTGTTCACTTTGCGCGCAGTGTGATTCGTGCGGAGAAAAGGCCTCGTCTTTGAACGACGCGGCAAGTTCCTACTTCCACAAGGATGCGACGCCCAATGAATCAAATTACCCAATTCATTTGGCCACGATTTGCAGCAAGTGCGAACCCAACTTCTCGGCCGATCGGTTTTGCCCAATGTGCCTTAAAACCTACTCGGACACAGAGGACAGTCAAGAGAATGAGGATGACAAAGATATGGTGTGTTGCGATGACTGTGATAGTTGGATTCACGCGAGATGCGATTCCGCCATCACGCCCGAGCGATACAAGGAATTGGTCGAAGACCCTGATGCAAAATACAGGTGTCCGCTGTGCGAAGGAAGAATAAAACCGATCCGAAAAGGCGACGAAGAACAGATACGTGCATTGTCCGGTTTCCCCGCGGCCATACCCGTTTCTCAAATCGCTAACGGCCGATGCATTCGGGGCGTTGTTAACTTTAAGGGAAAGAAGGTGACCGTTCCCGAGATCCGGGGTTGGGGTAAAAGTAACATTCAATAAAGGTTTCGAAGATTTCCATCTCCCAAACGATGCTGCTGAAATTATGCAGTAGGCTTTCATAATAATATAATTATTAAATCATGACATACTTTGCTGTAAGGTTAGATAAGACACTACACCAGGAATTATATAACTTAATAAGAATAACTTTTGGACAAAAAAAAAAAAACAAACAAACAAACAAACAATAATTTGACTTTTCTCGCAAAACAAAACCTACATTGTAAATACCTTCAATCCAAATAAAAAGTTAATCACGGGAATTAACCGTAAGGAAGCTGTTTAGGAACCACCAATTAAATATCTTTATTTTCTTGTTAATTACACCTCAAGTAATTCGGTCACAAGAATAGAAAAGATGTTGATTATTATTTTTCCGAATATCTTGCGTAGTGTGACGACATAGGGAAAGCGAAAATATTAAAATTAGAATTCCGCAATCTCGGATATGTATTATTAATCTATAAGATTTAACGATATGTATTGCGCATGTTGCACATATACTGTAAATTTTACAAATTTTATTTTATATATGCATTTGCATGCAATATACTATATTTTTTTAAAAAGTTTTACAATTAAAAAAATTTTTATGCACAATATCTTGTCGGAATGCAATGGACTTTGGTTTCAAAGAAAGTCACCACACTACCGATAAGCTATAACAATATCGTACGTAAAATTGGTTTTTCCCGCAGATAAATTTTCACAGCTTGTACTGAAAAGATCTGCGAGTTGACCAACAAATTCCAATTTGTTTCGTTCGATGGGATTCGGTAATCCAAAATAATTTTAAATACACTGTGAGCAGTGGTTGTGCCAGCCATAGACAACTTGAAACTGAGGGGCAGAAACATGCAATCACTGCTAAGCTAAAACGGACCGGTTTCCGCTGACCACGAATCAAGCTGATCATAATACATATCAATATTTCCCCTACATAAAAGAAAAAAAAAAAATATATATATATATATATACTGTATACTGCTCGAGATTTTCTTAGAATTTTTGACATAAAAAAAAATGTCTACTATCACGGAAAGCAACGCTCATTCCAATCAAATATGGTATGAACTATTACTCGATCGAGGTCTAATACCGGATTTTATTCTTCGCCGGGGCATTAGGATTATGTTGGAAGATCGTCTGAGACAGATTAAATCCGATGATGTACAAAAGAGTCAACAGCGAAAGATGTCGTACGTTAAACAGTTGAAAGAACGCCCAATCGCCGAACATACCGATAAGGCTAACGAGCAGCACTACGAAGTAATATTATGTTTCGCCTCTTGAGTTTGTGTATACATTAGTTATCGTGATCAAAGAACGACATTTTCCGTGAACGATGAGATAAACCAATTCGATTTTTTTTATTTTATTTTGTTAAAACAAACAAAGGTCACCACCGAGTTCATGCAATTGTGTTTGGGAGCTCGAATGAAATACTCTTCTTGTCTATTTCCTAATGGTGAGTGTTGTGTGATCTTATTTTGGTAGATCAAACTCGAACAATTAATTGACACGCGAACAGGCAATGAAACTCTAGATGAGGCAGAGGAGCGCATGCTGGAATCCTATTGTGTCAAAGCCCGCGTTCAAGATGGGATGGAGATTCTCGATTTAGGCTGCGGATGGGGTAGCTTGTGCCTGTATTTATGTGAGGTACGTAAATCTGAAAGAGCAGCAAACCATTAAAGCCCATTTCATAAAGATAATTTCTCTTCACCTAACTTTTCCATACACTGCAACAGAAATACCCGAATGCAAAGGTCACGGCATTATCGAATTCAAATACTCAACGTGAATACATTAATGATTTGGCTCAACGAAAAGGATACAAAAATTTAAATGTTATCACGTCTGATATTAAGGAATTTGATTTTGAAAAGGGGTCCAGGTATTTTTCGTTCCTTTTTTTTTTTTTTTCTTTTCCAATAAGAAAACAGGCTTGCCCAACGTTTCGTTCAAGCTTTCGACGTGATTTATAGATTCGATCGCATATTATCAATTGAAATGTTTGAACACCTGAAAAACTACGAAGATCTCCTGAAAAAGCTTTCAAATTGGCTTAGACCACGTGGACTCCTATTCGTTCATATATTTTGTCATCGTGAACAACCCTATGATTTTATGGTTGAGGATGGGTGGATGGCGAAATATTTCTTCACCGGTATTGAATGAAAAATGCAATTATAACACGCAAGTAGCCTATTTTTAACGTCACCAACTATATTCCAAAAATAGGGGGTACAATGCCGTCTGCAGATTTATTTCTTTATTTTCAAAGCGATCTCAGAATAATTGACCAATGGAATATTAATGGCAACCATTACAGCAGAACTTCCGAGGAATGGGTAAAGTTGATGGATAAAAATAAAAAGAAAGCATTGGAACACTTGGCAAAGACATATGGTGCGTCTTGTATTTAATGCGTGCGAATAGAAAATTTTCCACGTGCTTTCACACATCTACATACTAGCAATTCGATTCTCTCGCCACAATGTACACATAGGTCAAGAAAACATCTTCGCCTGGTTTAACAGATGGCGTACCTTTTATATTGCTGTGGCTGAGTTGTTTAAATATAATAATGGTAATGAGTGGTGCGTTTCCCATTATCTATTCGAAAAGCGGTGAATGGAACGCGCTCGAACATAGCCTGAAAAAAACCAATTCAACGGTTTGAAACTGTATCCCACCAATCGGATTGACGGTTCCTTGTGTGCAAGAGAGAAGCGGTTTTCTCCTGTTTCAAGTTGTAACTAATTTTCCTTTCTATACTGGTTAACTACATATGCAAATGGAATAAAAACACAAATATTTTTTAAATTAAAACCAAGTCTCAATATTGCTATATTCTTGCGACGTATTTTCGTGTTTCTTAATTACGACGATGCGCTACTTTTTTTAATAAATATACGGTCGCCTCAAAAAGTAAGGCCGATTTACGTTCGGTAAATTAAAACGTGACGTTATCCCCCTTTTTATTATTTTTCAACTTCCTTAAAATCCTTATCCAACTAACCAACGAAGATAAAGTAAAAATACAGGTTTGAGCGAGTACCTTAGTGTTGAAAAAAAATAGCACTGAATATGGGGTGCAATCCTTATAAAGAAGTTGGAAAAAATAAAAAAATCATCTATGATCTGGAAGATCGCAAGAAGCACTTTAACGAACAGCCATTGTGACATGACGTAAACTTAAATCCTAGTTTATCAATTGTCAGAAGTATACTTTATCTGTTCAGAAAGATGCGCACAACAATAACAAATACACAAGTCCATAAGTAGAATGGATATTAGCTGGAGTGAAAAAAATTAAGAAAATGGTATCTATAATTGATAATGAATTATTTTTCTCTAATAAAACAAGTAGATACTAACATACAATATGTATAAAAAATTTTTGATTTTTTTTTTTAAAAAATAATTCATTAAATGTTTAATTTAATTTTATATGCAATAGCTGATTTTAAAGTCAAAATAAAAGATTTTATTTAAAAAAATTTTTTATACATTAATAAGAAATTCAATCACTATTGTTATTAATAATAAGCTGATAATTGTATTTTATTAATGCAGTAAGATTGATTAAAATATAAAAAAATATTTGCAAAAAGTTTTATACTTTATACTAATAAAGTTTTAATACTATTTTTAAAATAATTTGAAAAATAATTTTATTTTATTTCTTTTTTTTTTTTTAACCTGCAATCATGCTACTATAGTATATCTTTATTAAGATGTTTAAAAATATCAAAATATTTTACAAACTATCACCAAGTGACTAACTCATCATTTTATATTATTAGTT